TGGTAAATCGATCCTTCGTTATCGACCTTCATGCTGGTAGAATTGTTTGGAATCAACCTGTTTACAGCTTCAAGGTGATGGAGCAGAATCCATTGACGTTAGAGGAAGCTGCACAGACTTTCTTCAATACGACTACATACCCTTTTAACGCAAATGCCACTCGTATCGTCCACTTTAAGTCCCAACTTATGTGGAAAAACACAACGGACACTGACGGTGGCTACTCTAATCCAATCGTACCATCTGACTCAGGTATGACGTATGAGTATGTTTTAGAGATATGCGGAGACGGATACGTCACTGGAGGCGAGTGGGTGAAGGACTCAATCTTTGTGCATCCCGACTTCTGCTGGTTGACAAAGAGTCGACCATCGGCTGACTTGGTGACGAGTATCGGTCTGAGCTACGCTGACGTGACGATGCTACTTGAGAAGTCGGCTGCGTGCTCTGATTTGAAGAAGAGTAGTAACAACTGATGTCTGCAGTGCCATGAATGATGAAGATGATAATATGAATGAAATTTTGTCGTTTGTCGGATCCCATTTTACACACTTCTCCTCGAACGATTTGAGCGATCATAATCTGCTATATACAATCATAATTTGAATCAAAACGCAAAGCGTAATTTACTTTTGGGCACAGACTAAATTACCGATCGTAAATCTCAGTAGAATAGTTGTTGGTAAGGAGAATTAATTCGAATGTTAATTGCGATCGCCTGCCGCCATCGCTATCCCCTAATGTTGCTGGCCCATGCAATGTAGATCTTTGTTTCTTGCGCGTACGCAATGATATATTGGACAAGTGATTGCAGAGGTCTCGCCTCCAGACCATTAGTCAGAAGAAAAAGAAGGAGATATTCCTTTAAGCGTATACATGAACGAGATGTGAATTGATAATTATTATTTCTGTGGATGCGAGAACCTGCTGGAAGATAATCCTTGCTGTATCATGGTGTTCGAGCATCGCACTGGTTGTTGTGCCTTTTACAAAAAGGAGCTTCACCTGTTTTTTATTTGTCTACTATGGTACTTATCAAACACATGAGATCTGTAGCTGTATTCCCTATTGAGATATACTGATTCTGTAAGCAGTCTCTCCACTTGATTACGCGCACATTAACTCATACCACCGAATTTAAGTAGTTCGGGGCACTCTTTCTCGGATACTCTCGTAAACTCAGCGAGCCCATATCATTTTATCGTCTTTCAAAGCTATACGGGTGCAAAATACAACTACTTAACTTTTCGTCCACTCGGAATTTCTGATCACTGCTAATTTGCAGGACACGTATCTATTTAAATCAACAAACTTTTCTGATACAAGACCCCTTAATTATTAGAAAATCCAAAGGCATTCTAATAATAAAATGAAGCTTTGCTACTGCGTTGTTCACTTTACAATTATACATACGCCAGGCAATCGATTTTTTAAGATGCTAAGGGCGATCAAGCGAATTTTGACGATGGCGGCGGCGTGCTAGCCGTTCACCTTGACACTCAATCGCACCTTGCGTTGACTTTGTTTGAGATGTGAACTCGCCAACGACCCGTGAAGGCCGTTTTGCCGTAGGCATCTGACACTATCGGCCAGTCCACTCACTAAATAAGTAAAGCTCGAACCCCACTTTCGGTTCTTTCTACCCGCATAGAGCTCACAATAATGATAGAACGACCCCGACTGTTCTCCATCCAGGATAATTGAGGGGAAAGAGATCGAGTTGTTGGCGCAGCAAGCGTGGCAGCTATGTGCACTGATGCGTCAAATAGCCGATCAATTGGCGTGTGGCGAGTGTGATTCAGTTTTGTGTTATGTTCTCTTTACAAAGGCGCGTCCAATAATTGCAAACTGTAGTAGAACTTCGGGTGCACTAAACGTGGGGTTCCACCGCCGCTTGCTAGCGCTTTTGATGCAGACAGCCTGGACCTACAGTTTAATGCAACGGTAACGTTGAGAAAGCAATCGACATTTGAAAAAGCTCTCACAAAATTGCGTACGATGCTCGCATATCCGCGTCCACCTTTTACTACAACAATTCTTCATTTGGTGAGGACTCAACTGCAGTAGTGACGAGCTTAGTTGAAGCTGGTGCAAAATAAATCTGGTAGTGCTTGATATTGTACCAGGTGTGTACCAGGTACCAGGTGTACCAGGTGTACAATATCAAGCACTACCAGATAAAGTCTTACGGTTTTATGAACTTAACCGTACATAAAACCGTAAGACTTTATCTGGCACAACCTTCCTCACTTACATGCAAACCACATTAAGTCCAACTCTTATTTGGCTTTATATAAGATACTGCGCCAAGGTGACCGCTCAACAAGCTACCACCTCGTCAAAAGTTCACATCGCTTTTTGCCGTGCCTGATCCTTAAGAAGACTTTCACCGATCGTTCCCCTCCGTGCATGGCTCAATGAGCCCTCACAAAATAGCGCGATCTTTGAGACAGACGCGCTAAGAAATTTTCCATGATGTTGCTGAGCAATTCTCCGATGAGAATCGTAACCATGACTATCTGACACCCGACCGATATCCTTCGCCCTCACCCGGCAATATACGTTCTAGCCGGCCCCCAGCCTTCCCGCGAAATAAGTCTCACACTCCGTTTCATCAGCTGGGAGTGCTGCGATACCCACTGTAAATATTACGACGAAGCCAAGCCTGTCATCGACGAGTCTTATCTGGTGTAAGAGGCCCGCCTTGCTTATCTTCAATCGCAAATGTCATGCCGACTCTTTCTTATACTACCACGCCGTGATGACGGTTTTAAACCGTCTGAAGTCGCTCATCGCGATGGTGGAGCTCGAACGCACCTATGTGTGTGGGCTTAATGGTTACACAGCGAGCAAAATGAGCGCAAAAAGTCGTTCCGCGAGATCTTTATCTAAACACAGGCGATTACTTCTCAAAAGTACCACCCGAGCTTAGAGCAGCAGCGGTTGGAAAACCCATACTTTCCTTGAGGAATCTACTATTGGTACTTGAAGCTGGCAAAAAGCCTTCGCACTGCGTTAAGAAAGCAGATCGCCTTACCCGACTTATCCCGACTAAAACCAGTTTCTGCGAAGCATTTGTAAGCTTGAAGCATCGTTTTAGATATTAATGAGCAAAGTGAAATATACGACGCGGTCATCGAGGTGACAACCCATCACATTTAATTTCTGCTCCCATTTGTCGTCATGAGACAGCCAAACCACTTAATAGATGGAGGCCAAGTTCACCGCGAGGTCAGCTCCCACGCCGCTGCAATAGGCAACCTCTCCATTTCACCCCGTTTTGCCAAAGGTTATAATAAATGAAGCCGCATCAGGTCGTACACGGCCACGACACCAAAGCAATCTTGCTAGCCTAAAGCCCCCAAGTGTTTATTGAAAGAGGGTATCTTTAAACTTCATCGGATGCCAGTAACAGCACTGATGTATCCGCGAGCCAATCAAATGCTACACGTGAAAGGGAACCACCATTTGCCTGCCGAACAGCGCCGCTGAAGTCAACTATCCCGCAGATGACCTTTTTGGCTGTGATGACACGCTGACTCTCGTCAAATGTCTTGGTGTGCGCTCTAAATGAGATGAACCAGATCTTGGATTCTCCCAGAGAAGCTTTGCTATCGCACTGCATGGCTTATAGCACCTTTATCAGCTCAGAACCGCGTTGCTGCTATGGAGCAAAGGATATCTTAGCTACAGGGAATGCTGAAGGCGTTGATCCATCTGCATCAAAACTATTTACATCGGAATTTATCGTAAGCCCGAGACGTTACATAGAATACAGGATGTGTTTACATTCTATTCGGGATGTTCAGAGGACATTTTGATCTTCTCTTCGCTACGATCGAAAACGGTCCAACACGCTTCATCTTATAGACCGCAGGCATTGCAAGTATAGATAGTTTGATTGTAGTCAATCTCGCTTCCCACAATATTGGTGCAGCAGTGCTGCCGTAGCTCATTTCTTAAAGGAAGCTAAGTTAAGCTAAGGAATTGACCTTATGTTCTATACCAGAAGCAGTAAGAGTGTAGCGGATCGCAATCCGCTACCTTCAAGAGTACTAAAAAATCTTAACCAAGACGCTCTTTCATTCGAAATTAAAGACTGCATTTATTTTTATTTATTTTGTTTTATTTGCGGCAGAGGCCAAAAACCTTAGGTTTTCCTAATTAAGTAAAAACTTTAATCAATAACTACTGGTAGTCCCGCCACGTAGAGACTTTTGTTACGGTGTAGCCACACCATTATGTGGTTACACCAGCTTGTGTTATCCACACATTTGTAAGGTCACACAAGATGGTTTGACCCACTCCTGTATACCAGGGTACGTGTAATCCCGTTACACTCTCCCCCATTAAAATTGTGAATTCCCACAATTCACATTTAACTGTCACCTCATACAGGGCTCGCGTGGCTGAGACACCGTTACGTCCCTAGGACCATCTCTAAACATTCTCTACTAAATGATCCTTGTGTCTATGACGCAAAACAACACCCAGCCTCGCTGGTTCCGAGGGCGCTCGCGGGCAGATGCCTTCTTCGTCTCCTGCACACTGTGCAACTCCAGACAGTACGTCCGCGGCTTCACGAAAAGCACATCCCAAGCACTCGGCAACAAGGCGCAACACACAACGCCCGCCCCGAGCGACGGATTTATTCGTCGAGGATTATAAGGAAGTCGACTATGAGACGGGAACTTCATTCCAGGATGGAAAGAAGAAGAAGGCGAGGTGCGCCAACGGTGCAACGTGATCCCTACTCAAACCTTACCGATACCGCGTCCGTTCCCCGACCTCTCGACATTCGGGGAAGTGGTATTGTTTAAAATCACCTCGACGAGGCACAGGAGCAGAAGTTGGAGGCTGCACACAGGGTGGCTCTCATGCGCTCGTATCCACGTTCGGTCTTAGACCCTCGTGAAGAATACGGCTTCCGCTCGGCGGATCCCGCTACTGAAGCAAAAAACGCCATCACTCTATCGTTAGGCGTTTACGTAGTCTGCCCCGGCCATTACACAAGCTGAGCTTGACCAGCGGTAAGCTCTCCGAGCTCGCTTCTTGATATCTCAAGAAAAACAAATGTTAAGTTCCGCGCTCGAACTTCGAGCATAAAGATGCGGCACTCCTGTACCCGCAATGAAGACTATTCCTGTGGTGCTCGCCCCTGGCGAAACCGCTGCAGATGATGATGAGCTCTTTGAGCGATAAGTGCAGCGGCACCGAAAACTTTCTGCGCTGTCTAACTTATAGCGGAGCTACAAGGAAGTGGACGTGCGCGTAGAACGCCATCTTCGATTTGAGTTTGCGACATATGGAACACTCCATTACTCTCCTGCGAGCTCTGTGATTTCTCACACGGGTGAGTCTGCGACCACGACAGTTTAGGGCCATAGCCTTCGCTTCTCGGTAGTATCCCGGAAGCTGTTCGGCTTACCGGGATAATACCGAGAAGTGCGGGGCTCACGACGACGCGGAGCGTCATGACCCTTCTGATCATAAGCGTCTACGACGTCTAAGCAGTCTTGCCGAAGTGGCACCTCAAACTCCCACGAGCTTTTGTCCGCCG